TAATAATAATAATAATAATAATAATAATAATAATAATAATAATAATAAATTTTTATTCACATAAATTAAAAAAAAAAATTTTTAGTTTTTTAAGGTTTTAAAGAAATTTTTTAAATGGCTTTTTTATTTTAAAAAATTCAAAAGAATTTTTAAAATTAAAAAAAAAATGGGTGCAAAAAAGATAACTCTGGTCTACCTTTTCAGCTAAAAAAAAAAAACCCACAAATATACTGTTGCAGGAAAAGGCATCCTCAAAAAAAAAGATGCCTCTCTTGTTCTGGCGTTTACATATATAATATTCGTCTGGGTTTTTGGCCAAATCCCGAATTTACCTAAAAGAAAATCGAACAAGACGGGGAAAAGGGGGTAAATGAAGAGGCAGTGAACTAGACTCAATATTTTCTCCATGTAAATATACACATTCCGATAGCCGCTCCCGTGGCATGTCGCACTTTGTTAGAACTAAAAATATTATTACTTAGGAGGTGGAAGGCTTTGAGGTTCTCCAACCACAAGACCCCACCACAAGGATGGATTCAAAAAGGGGGTGGGCGCAAAAATAAGAAATAAAAATAAATAAATATCAATCGTCCAGACGCCATTGGTTCCCTAATTCCTTCAATCGCGGTAAACCAAAGATCCATAAAGTAGAAAAAAAGTCCTGCAGAGATATATTCGATCTTTCAGGATATATTGAATTGGGTAGAAGGCTTACACCTTGAACATTCTCTTCACAAGCACCTAAAAAAGAAAAACAATTATAAAAAAATATATATATAGAAAAAAAAAATTTTCAGAGAAAAATGAATTAAAGAAATCATAAAAAAAAATTTGATAAAAAAAATAATTGGAAAAAAAGGCCATCCCGTTCCATGAGGATTGTCAAAATTCGCAAATCACACATGTATAATTAAATTCTTTTTCCCCATCCAACACAAAATTAGCCTCATAGATAAAAATATTGGCAGTTTATCAAGTGGTAAACCGAAAAAGCATGCAATAAGTTTTCTGAGATCAATCTCATGCTTCTACACAATTCTCGGCCGGACCTACTCCTTTAATACTTTTAATTTGTTGTTTGAGGTTTTCCGTGATGATCTTAAAATAAAACCATTATTGAGTCAAATCCCTTAACTATTGTCGGTAAGATTCGCCCGCGGAGCAAGAGCCGCGATGATTACACCAAAATTAAGGCATGAGTGGAGAAGAAAACCCACATCCTTCGCACTTTTGCGGGCGGCATTTCAGGTGTTTTACGGTATTCATTCCTTAAAAAAGAGAGAAATAGGCCTTGAATATAATAACCCGCCGTCGGCCATATGCCACCCCCACGCCGGAAGGGGAAAGGCGGCCCAAACCCCCGCATAACGACACCGTTCCCCCATCCGACGGCGCCCCGAGCACCAAAGCTTCCAAAAACTGCTCAAAAAAAAGTCCCCGGGCGGCCCTCCTTTCTGCGAGGCAGTTTTTCTTCCGCCGGCGGCCCTTCGGCCCATTCCTGACCGCCGCCTTTTGACCCTCTTCTTGGGTTGGGGCGGGACCCCTTTTATCCGGATGACGCCCGAGCCGCGCCGATCTATAGCTAGTGATGCGTTTATTTTTCAATTAGTTAACGGGTTTCTTGTGCGATTGGGGTGGTGCGTCGTGATTTTTTTTTAGGGAATTTACCCAGCTTTGAAAGTGACCTCGTCGCTCTTGGCGTTTTTATTTCGATGTTGCATATTTATGCTCTACAATTGTTGCTAAATTGCTTGTGTGTGTGTCTGTGTGCGTCTGTGCGCGTGTTGCCGGCTGAACGATTATTTTTTTATACATGTTCCATTTTTAGTTTCAGTAGACATGGAAGTGATTAGAAAGAGTACGAGAAATTGTGGCGGTGGTAAATTTAGTGATCCAGAGGCGATTCAGCTCCATGCCAACGATTTTTCGTGGGAGGAAAAGATGGAAGAGCTGAGCGATGATGAACGAAAACTAGTGCAAAATTATCTTTATAATTGTGAACAAAAGTTACTGGAATTGAATATGAAGAGCATAACTGTACATTTACCAACCCCCGCACGCAAAGCTGATGCATGGGATTCACATTATCGGACAAACAAGCGTCACTTCCCACTAAAAAACTACATTGTTCTTGCATTTCCCTTGATCAAGGAAATGTGTTCTTCCTCAACCCAGTCAGAATGCCTTTATGTTCTTGAATGCGGATGCGGGACTGGAAGTACACTTTTGCCACTGATGAGACAGTTTGGAGAAAACGTGCACTTTATAGGTTTTGATGTTTCTGATAATGCGGTATCTGTCCTTTTGGACCATCCTCTTTCTAAGGAGTTTATTGAGGGTCAGCGTCTTACAGTTTTTACCCATGACATTTTATGTGCGCGCGAAAGGCCTGTAGATGGGCCGGAAAAATCTCGTGTTCGAAAAGAATCTGGAGGGTTAAAAAGTGTAATATTAAAAAGGGTGTCAGATTGCACTCATGGGGTTGATTTGGTTCTTCTTGTGTTTGTTATTTCCTCTTTGCCATCGTTGGAATCCATGGTGTACGCTTTGAAGGAAATTGCAGAAGTTCTTAAACCCAATGGTTTTCTTCTCTTTCGTGACTACGCTGTTCCAGACCACAATTTGTTCCGCTTTACAAGACAAGGCAATGAAGTGGTTAATGATCTTGCTTTTCGTAAAGGAGATGGCACTCTGCAAATGTTTTTTGAAGCGAATTTTATAAGAAAATTGTTTGCATTGGCTGGGTTTAAAGAGGTCGATGGACATGGCCTACAGTATCACTGTAACCGCATAGTAAATCGAAAGAACAGTAAAAAAATGGATAAAGTTTTTATAAACGGTGCTTTTTGTCTCCCCCCAACATGATTTTAGGTGCGTACAATTCTGAATTGTTCCCTTGCTGTATTAGGGGGCTTTGATGTTAGTGTATTTTATCAATTCATTTGTCTTGGTGTGTGCGTGTGTGATATGGTTCCTATATGTATATTTTCTATCATTGATTTCCTTTTTCTTATTCATGCTTTTGTTGATCTTTATTACTAATGCAGCATTTATCATGCAAGAGGGATGTTGCGAGGCTGTTTCTCCTCCTGAGGGCAACGAAGGACAAAGACGATTTGAGCTGAAACGCTGGAATGCCGTAGCTCTTTGGTCTTGGGATATTCAAGTGGAGACATGTGCCATTTGCCGTAACCACGTAATGGATCTTTGTATCGAATGTCAGGCCAATCAAAGTCTTTCTCCAACTGACTGTAACGTTTCTTGGGGAGCATGTAACCACGCTTTTCACACCCATTGTATATCTCGTTGGTTAAAAACACGAAATGTTTGTCCCTTGGATAATAAGGAATGGTCATACCAGAAACTAGGTGCGTAGTTATCACGAAGTTGGGTATTATTGTATTTAGTCTTGTTACCCCATATATTCATATATTTATTTATTTTTCAAAGTAGGAAGGGAAGAGGTGATTTTCTTAAGCGACAACAAAAACCGCATATATAAGACGCTAAATTTAAGCGAGTTGTAATTGTTTTATTTGCTTTGAGGGATGTTTTTCTTTTTGGGGGCATGATTTCTCATCATTATCAAATGCGTTTTTCCTTTACTTTTTGATGTATGTATAATTAGATGAAGGGTACCTTTTTTTTGCGAAGGCAAATTCTATCAGGCGCTCTCTCCAAAACAGAAGTAGGTAAAAAAATAATTCAAGGAGGTTTTCAGCTGCATCCCTACTTTGATGTGCACCACGAACTAGGTTCGAGGGAATTTATACTTTATTCTAATAATATCCATGATGCTTCTGTTTTGGTTCATTGTTTAGTTGGTAGTTCGCCGTTGCGCTCTTTGGACGGAGGTTGTAAAAAGGATACCGGTAAGAAGAAACTGCTTCCCAAGGCGAGGTGTCAGAATTGCACAGTAAATGTTCCCCCTGTGGAATTTTCTGTGTTTGTGTATGTGTTTGGTTCGGGGATTACAGTTGAGATCTCTTGTAGTTCCATGCTCGGTTTTCTTATTATCGATGGTGTGACCACTCACGATGGTCTCATCACCGACTCTTTGGTGCCGCGAGAAGGATACCCTATTGGTGAAATGTTGTATCAAGGCCCATGGCTGAATCAAAGAGCTCTATCGGAGTCGGTACTTAGCGTGAGAAGTAACGTGAACCCATTGGACCCCTGGAGGCAGGAACAGGCGTTTTTTTTTAACAGACATGTGCGACCCTGGATCTCGCGTTTTTTGCGTTTTGGTCACTCTCCTGTTCATACTGTAAAACCTGAGTTCGCGGATGCGCTTTTTTGTTTTCTTGAGTGTTTTTATGTTGATGATGACCTTGCAGCCTTTGTAGAGCGATTCGCACATGAGGTGCAAAGAAAAGAAAGAGAGATGTGGTCTAAAATTGTGATGGATATCATTCGATGAAGCGGGGTCGTCTGTATTGGACAAAATTGTTTTGTATGTTGAATTTTTTACATACCTTTTTTTGTTTTTGTTTTGTTTTGTTTTTGTTTTTGCATTTTTAGCTTATTTATTTTAATGAGGCTTGCTTCATTACGACATTTATTTATTACTTTTTATTTCTTTTTTCTCTTTCACTAAAGCTTTTTTATCAAAAGTGGTGTAAAAAAAGAAAAAATGGACCGTTTAAAGCTGAGCACTAAGGCGCTACTAGGGATGGCAACGCGCACTGTCGATCAGGATCACGGAATGCGACATACATGTGTTAAATCACTCTTTCAAGCAGTTGTTCAATATGAATTTGCGATTTCCAAGCTTGTTGCGGCATTATCGACATTATCGGATTCCTTGGAGGGTGTAGAAAAGGCATATAAGAACGTCATTTCTAATGAAAAACAGGTTTCTGTTTTTGATGGTCTGAACGAAGTAACAAACCATTTAGAAAAATGCCGTACAACTGTTATTTCAGGTTCTATCGAGACATTTAGAGCAAATGTAGCCCCGTCCTTGTCCGCACTGAAGGAGCATTGTGAATTGTGCGAGCGTCTTCATAATGAGCGAGCCAAGGCCGTTGATTTGTATGATTATCATCGGGATGTTGTTGAAAAAAAAGAAGTTCAGTATGCATCAAAAGGTAAACTTCTTGATGACTCAAAACGTTATAAAGAAGAAATAAGCAAACGCGATGCTGCACATGATGCATATCTTGCAAAGCATAGTGAATACAACAAGGCCTATGATGAATTTATGTGTAAAAAATCCGAACTGACCACTCTTTCTGGAAGGCTATTTTTTCATGAGCTCTTGGATATTGCGGAAAAACTTAAAAACGAGGTCTCTTCTATGT